GAAATTGCAAAACATAATAAACCCCTGCAATTCCTTTAGTCATATATAACAATGCATATTTACTCTGGGGAAATGACCTTCGCTTTATTCTTTATCGTGATTTGATTTGATTCGGCTCTCTACCTAACAGCATTAGACTTCGAAATCTTGGAGGAGCAAAATTGCATTATCGATTCAGATAAGGATTTAAGAAAATCATAAACTAATGCAAAAATATCAGGCAAAAATATATCTTGTACAATAAGCCAGCGAACAACACAGTAATTCAGAGCTGTATCAGGAAGAAATTTAAATCAGTTTACGAGATGCACCAAATTAATTGAAATGATATTAACTTGAATACTAGAGTTGACAACAGACACAGGCAGTCAGATATTACTTCTTTATGAATTTGAACCTATAGAAAAAGCTCTAAGTTCCTGAGAAAAAAAAAGCAATTAAAACATTTAGTAACTATTTTCTCCTATAGCAACTGCTACTTTCCCTAAAACAACCAGAACAGGGACAGAAAAGATACTAAACAATAGAGAGTTGATAGTCAAATTTCAGTGCAAGAATTTTTCAAGGAAGTGTGGTCCTAATTTGAATTAACATCCTGTTAGTTCATTTAATTACTCTGTGCCAAGAGTAATTGATTTTAGACCTAGAAACAGAAACAATTCAACTATGTGGAGAAAAAAAAAAATCATTTTGTCCCTTTAAGTTGGAAGCAAGACAAAGGTTATGTCTTAAGAAATGTGCAATATGACTGAGGTTTTATCTCCTATTTGAACTATTATTTCAACATGCTCCCTAAGGATTACAACATTAAACACTAGTATAATTTAGCTGTTGATTATAAAATGCTCATATTACTGAAACAAACTTTTACATTGTCCATACCAAATAGTATCATGCACAGATTCAGTTAAGAATTTATATACTAACATTGTTAGAAGCTTTTGAGTCATAACTAATCATATGTTATTAGTTTCATGAAATACATGTTTTATTCTTTTAGAAGTGAGATTTCTTTCTTCATTTTACATTGCTTCCTCTTTGAAACTGTAAGCGGGAGAAAAATCTTCCTTCTGCTCCAGTCCCTACATCTCCACATTGATCAAATTAGCTTCTGCTCCATTGAAGAATCATTCCTTCCCAACCTCATCCTGTCCTTAATTGCTTGGTTTTGGAACAGGGCACTTCATGTGTCATGAAGCAGTTTTCTGGGGTGACTTTATTAAGGGACTCAGTTCCCACTCTGAATTTTGGCAGTGCTGGGAGGTCCTCTTAAAACATGGAAACCCGCAGTGGGCAAAGTAATGCAAAAGCTCTCCTGTCTAGTTTCTAGCATCGGCTTACTAAAGCACAGTAGAAAAATCTTTAATATCTATAGAAACATACCTAATTTTCACTCATCACCTCATTCAAAAACCTAGAGAATACTTTCTTGGTGAAAGTATCCCTTATTTTAAAATATGATGCACTAAATCCCATCATGTTTAGTGTATGCTCCTAGAGTAGATCCTGTGTATTCTTTATCATTTCATTTCACTTATAGTGATGACTGACTGTGGATTGAACTTTGTCCCACTGAAATCTTAAAAGAAGAAAAATAAAATAGGAATTACCATATTCTACCTAGCAATGCCACATAGTATTTCTTCCCGGCTGGCTGTCAGTTTGTTTTATATTGTATGATTCTTTTGTGTGTGTGTGTGTGTGTGTGTGTGTGTGTGTGTGTGTTTGTGTGTGTGTGTGATTCTTAATGTCTTTTGAAAATGTTTCTGCTCATTATCAGATAATACAACTTAGTTATAAAAATTTGGAACTGATAGAAAACTAGCACTAACTCACTTGCACACTAAATGTAATCATGTGTATATATACTATTCTTCATTATCATTTTTAGGACAACAGTGATGCTGAATTTAAAATGTTTATATTTCCTATTGCATCTATTGCATCATGACTATCTCCCTGTTTCATTAAATATTTTTTTTAAATATTTTATTTATTTATTTGAGAGAGAGACAGTGAGAGACAGCATGAGAGGCAAGAAGGTCAGAGAGAGAAACAGACTCCCCATAGAGCTGGGAGCCCGATGCAGGACTCAATCCTGGGACTCCAGGATTGTGACCTGAGCTGAAGGCAGTTGCTTAACCAACTGAGCCACCCAGGCACCCTCATTAAATATTTTTAAATAAGAATTTTAAGTGTTGTGTAGTATTTCAACATACAGATATATCATGATTCATGTAATCAATTCTAAATTTGAAAATAAATTTGTCTCCATTCATACAGTTTATTATTATTATTGCAACTTTATTAATTTTTAATTCTTTTATGTGATAGCAGAAAAATCACATTGCATTTTTTATATCTTTCATTATAACTGAAACACAATATGCAATTTATCTGAAATTCTATAGAATATAATTATATATCCATTCAATTTTATACATTTTTTTTCTGATCCTATCGTCCACTCCTCCCACATTTAAACCTTTTGACTATGCCCTGTGAACTTAGTTAGCTGCAAGATGACTTCTACCTTCAATCACTTTTCTGACAGTCCTTTTCACATAACTGAAAACTGACTCTTCCTCAATGACATTCCCTCCTCTATAATACTCATATTTATCATACCAAACCTCTTTTACCTTTGGATTTCAAGGTGGATGGGAACCATTGTTCTTACTGCTTCCAGACTTTTCTCTCTTTCTTCCTAGAAGTACCCTCCTTATAGTAATTGTTGCTGATCTCCAAATCACAGTTGCTCAATTTTTAATTTTAACATATGTTTCACCATCGTGACCTCCGACAGCCCTAACATAACTCTTGGTGATTTCTAACACCATATAGTGTTTTAAAGACGTTTTATATACAGTTTATATAGGCTTTTTCCGTAATTTGAATAGCCAGGTCCTTTACTTCCTCTCTTCCAATGTATAGTCAAATGTGAAAACTCAGTATGTGGAATTAGATATTCTAAGTCCAAAACCCACCTCCACCATGACATAGCTGGGTATCATTGAGAAGGTTACTTAATCTCTGTATGTCCCCATTCCCTTGTCTGTATAGTAAATGCACCTAACTCCTAGTATTGTTGTTAGGGGTGTGTGTGTGTGTGTGTGTGTGTGTGTGTGTGTATGTGTGTATATTCATAACACTAACGGTACCCAATATGTAGTTTATTAATAAAAGTGTTGCATTTAATAAAAGTTTCACATTTTGCTTTCTCATCCAAACCACTTAAACAAATAGTCATACCTGGTCGTTATTAACAACATTGTAAACCTCCATAATCTCAATTTAAGAATCCTAATCTCTAACCACCAAAAAGTTCCTTTTCCGCTTATTGCCAAAAGTACTAACCCCGCAGTTCTCTGTCTCCACTGGGATGTGTAAAGCCTTGGTCTATTGCTTTGGTCTGTTACTCATCCCTTCCATGACCTAACTTCTCAACCTACTCACTTTGATTACTCAGGGTTAGCAAAATCAATATAGTGGTTGTTCCCTCTATCTTTTCTTCTTCTTCTTCTTTTTTGCTTTTCTCAAGTCTTCATACACATCTGGAAAAATTCTCAAGTGTTCATACTCACCTGGAAAAATACCTTAGTAAACACAGCTTTCATTGTCTTCTTCACTTGTATGCAACTGAACACAGGTGGGGGAAAAACACAATCACACTGCTGGATCTAGCTCCAATTTCATGACCTCCAATATCAGAAATCTTTTTTCTTTCCCCCTCAGTAATCCTCATATATTTCCTAAGTCCATTCACTCTCCTAATTCTTTAAATGTCTAATTCCAACCCCCATCTCTCTCTTAAAGCATAGAACAACTACACTACTACTGATATTGATTTTCTCATCAGAGAATGTCAGAGCAATTAGATAATTTTCCACAATTTTCCATCTCTATTTCCAAAAAGCTATTTGTATCTAAGCTTATATTCCTCTCTCCTTTCTCTAAGTATCACTAAACTCTTTGCTCTATCTAGGACCACTATTGTGTGATGGCTACTAGATCTCATCTCTTCTCATCTATTCAAGGATATGTACCAGCTATTTTCTTTGATCTCTTTTTCACAACGTTGCTCTCACTAAGTAAACAAACATGCTATTTTTTCTACTATTTAAAGATACCTTGGCCAACCATCTTTTTCCCATTAATACTCTTGCTCAGTTTCTCTCTCCAGAAAGACACTTATTATGAGTACTATTGAGAGCACTATCTTTACTCATTCTATTTTTTTGTATTGCACTCTGTCTCTTCACACATTCCACTGAGGTGTTTTCCCACTACTTGGCTGAAAATTCTTTTCTCCTTGTTTAATATCTATTCTCTCTTACTACTGTATTCCTCAACAATTTTTGACAGATTAGGACTAATCTTCTTTCATTAAGTATTTTCTTCCTTTGGCTTTGGCTATGCTTCATTTTCTTTTCTTTAAATTTCACTTCTTAGTTTATATTTTTTTATCATCTGTCAGATTCTCGAATTGGAATTTCCTGTTACTCATGGCTTGGACTGTTCTTCCCCACTTCCTTAGTTATTTAATTCTTTAAATATTTTTAAAATGTTGATGGATTCAAATATATATATTCATCCTAGAACTCTCCCTGATGTTTAGATTCATATAGCCAACTTTCTTCTTCTTCTTCTTCTTCTTTTTTTTTTTTTTTTTTTTTTGGCAGGTGAAACAATTTTATTTCACAGTTGTCTTTAAAAACACAAAGACACTATGTTCTTCATATAAAAACATTAGTACAGATAACTATACTTACTAGAAAATGATTGTATAGACCCTCTCAAAGAAAAATCATACCATTATATGGTTTCAGGCAAGTTGCTTAGGAAAAACACATCTGGACTGATTCCTAAAATATACCATAAGACCACCCTGCATCTTTTGGTTCAAAGTATAGATTACTGTCATCAGTATGTGTTCTTGCATTCCTACATTCTCTCATAAGGCACACAGACCATGTTTAACCAGTTCATTTAAATTGCATTTAAATTGCACTCCATAAATCCAGACATATGTTTCTCCAAGTAAGTACGAGCTGATTGAGAACTGGCTCCAATGGACGTGGCTCTACAGTAAAAATGGTTGGCAGGTGGACAGGTTTGGAAAATGTGAGGGCCCATATCATCATAACCAACAATAAGCAGTCCAACACCATATGGTCTCCGGCCATATCGTTGGGTTGGTATCTGGGTCTTGCTTCCAATTAGTGATACAAGACAAGACACAGGAAGAGGTCTGTCAAATACAAATCCAGAATCCAAACACTCCTGGCGCATAAAATTGCATAGCAGTCTAGCATCAGCAGTAAGTCCCGCAATTGAGATACCAATATGGTTGTCAACATGGAGGATGTTTTTCTGATGAGCTGCAAGCTCTGTCTGTGCTCTCTTCAGTGCAACCAACACTGCATAGGTTTTTTTTTATTTCAGACCAACTGTGGCTGAACCTTGCTTGACAGCTTCCATTGCATACTCAATTTAACGAATTCTGCCCTGAGGGCTCCAAACAGTGACATCAGTGTCATACTGGTTGCGAACATGGTTCCAGGGCAGATCTGGCTGCGGCCTCCTGCAGAGGTGTGGATTCAAGAAGGTTGAGGAAACTACCCACCAACTTTCTTCTTAACATATCACTGAAGTATATAATACTATATTATTTATAGTATGTCCAAAATGGAACTTCTCATTTCTTCTCCAAAACTATTTATTTTTCAGAATTCACCCATTTGGCATATGGCTATTCCATTATTGAAGTGACCCAAGTCATAAATCTATAGAATTGAGTCCTCTTTTACTCTCTCACCTCAAATTACCTTAAAAAATATCCACATGTTTACAACAGCTCTTACGTTCACCAATACAACCCAAATCTAAACCACCACAATCCTCTGGAATATTGTAATAGAAATGTAATTGATCATCTTGCTTCCACAGTATTCTCAATGTGACAGCCAGAATGTTCTTTTTAATTCTGAAATCAGATCCTTTGTTCAAAATTATCCAATTGCTGGCAGCTCACTCTCATAATTTGTAGTGATAAAAGCCAACATAAATTTAGTTTACAGTTTGCTACAGAATATAATCTTGCAACACACTAACTCTTTGGTCTCATTTGTAATTAATATCTCTTATTTGCTCTAGTCTCCTTGATTTCAACAAAGATTTCAGGGACTGTATGTCAAGAGGGTTTTTGCTCTTACTGTTTCTTTGGCTTAGGAGCTTGAGTCTCAGATATTTTCATGTCATCTCGTTTAGGTCTTAGCTCAAATGTAATCCTCTCAGTGATACTTTTCCTAATTTCCCCCAATATTTCATATTATTTTATTCAGTGGCACTTACCACTATTGAGAGAAGAAAACAAAAACAAAACAAAACCTCAAATATAGATATATTTATATATATATAAATGTATATATATATAAAATATATAATACAGAGAAAAGGCATTTTCTGTTTTTGTCTTAAAATTATAAGAACATGCTTCAAACACCTTTACATATAAATTTTAGACATTTAATAACTATATGTTGTTAAATAATATATAAATGAATATTGAAAGTTTATTTTAAAAAGAATAATCATAATCAATAAAGGAAGGCAGTACATTTTATGGTTGTACATGAAAACTAGTTAAAAATTATTTCATGTATACTGCTCTTTTTAATTTTTATAAAATATCAAATGATATTCTATGTAATATTTGTATGTATTCAATAAATGCTTTGCCTCAGTCTTTGAATTGAAATTTGCACAAGAAATGTAAGAATTCACAATACCTAAATTGAATATATCAGATCAAATTCAATTATAAATTAAATAATCCACATGGTAATTCTGCATTAATATCTAAGAATTGACTTATGTATTACAGAAATTCTTAAGCTTTCTTTCGTTGCAAAATATATACAGTAAGACAGACTCATTACTTAAGTGATTTCCCTTGGTGAAGGCTAAGAAAAAAGAAATTTAAATACTGGTTCAAAGATAATATGAGGGTGCAATGTACTTATAATAAGATTTAGGATATGTAAGCTAAAATAAATACCACAAAAAGATAAAGAAATGACACAAAATAGGGAAAAAAGGAAAAGACACATTAGTAGAAAGGCTGTTAAACTATAAAACTGACTTCTTCTGACATGAATTAAATAACTAGAACTTTAAAATTTATATTACCCAACATCCAACACTATGCTATAATTAAATATATATTTACATATATACAAATGTAGAGACAAATCCTTATTTACGAATGGTCTGTTTTCATGATTTCAACACATTTTTGCAAAACGTACACCGGCAGGTTTCCTCCGTCATTTCTTATGGGAGTGAATATTGAATTATTTTGTATTTGCTCTTGGTATATGGAGTGTAGCTGAAAGAGATGTAACAAAATTGATGCAACTGGGTCATACATGAGGATGTCATTCTTCAATTGGTGATGATCAGACCCGGGGACACTGTTACCACGTATGAGGGCTTCTCACTATCTCTTGCTTGTAATTCTGAATTGAGCCAATTTCTTTCTGATTTCTGTGCATTGGGATTGTCTGCTGGTAGTCCTACGCAGTGCAGGCACGTCATTTCATGACTGACTCCTTGGAGACTCTTCCCATTAAACAGCTGCCCTGCTTGAACGTTCTCTTTGGACTACATGCAGGCATAGGCTGCTAGCATCCACTCTTACACAGATTTTACTGATTTTACTTTTAATTCAAGTACTGTCTTTTTACTGTAGCATGACATTGGAGTTTTTAACAAATCACCATGCTATGCATCATTGCACAATAAAACCACAAAGTTTGCAGGGGAAAAAGGGATTGGAGGCACGACACTCAAAATTTCTTCAGTGATACATGAAATAAAAGAATGAAACATAATAGCACATTTTTACATGTTAAATGGGTAAAACAGATATATATTTCACAATGACTATGGCACTTGACCTTGAAAAAGATCTGACATTGGCTTTGGAAATGGTTATAAGAGGGGTTATAGCTTGTGAGTTCTCTGATCTGCAACAAAAGTTAAAACAAGACATGTGAATGCATGAGTTCACAACACATGCAGTGAACTGAGGTCGCTTGATAGGTGTTTGAGGTGTCTACGTGTGTGCATTTTATGTATTCTTAGACAGCTCTGTTCAGGTGGGTTCAACTTCCTGTGCTCACCTGATGTTTCTTGTGGACAAATGTAAGCAAATTCAAAATTCACATTATGTTTGCATTGTTCCTTTAAAATATCAGTTGTTTGGATCAAAGTCACATTTACAAAGCAAGCATTATAGCAGCACAGATCATACTGACTTCTTGTAGGTGAGTCTGCATTACCTTTGAAAGGCTGGGTTTTGCTCATCACTCTACTTCCAAAGTTGTGAATTTTAAATGACTGCTAAATTCACTCAAGCAATTTGTTATGTTAACTTAAAAGGGAAGGGACAGAAAAAATTAAAAACTAAAATATAATCAAATCACACAATTTACTTGATGGAAAAACTATTCATGAAACCAAGTACTGTTTGGTATCTTAGTAAAAATTTCTATTGGTTACTACAGGATATTCTGGGGTTTAGAACATAGAGTGAAATCTACATGGCAAAACAAACTCACCTGTAGGAATTGTTAAAAATAATTGGGCAGTAAGAAGTAATGCAGCAAAGCCATGTCGATAGGCAGTAAATCTCATGAAGAATTTGCCACTGGAATATATGAAGTGATATTTTAAGATCAAAGAGTACAAACTCCCAGTTGTAAGATGAATAAGTTTTGGGAATCTAATTTACAGCATGGTGATTATAATGAATAATATTGCATTATATACTTGAAAGTTGCTAAGAGAGTATATATTAAATGTTCTCACCACAGAAAAGAAATGGTAAATATATGATGTGGTATAGATACTAGCAAAGGCTATACTGGTAATCATTTTGCAATGCAAAAATAAATCAACATATTGTGCACTTTAAATTTATACAATGATATGTCAATTATATCTCAACAAATGTGGAAAAACAGAAATATAAATGAAAGATATCCTTGAGTACCCATTTAAAAATATATGCCTTGCATATCATAAAAATAATAATGAAGAATGGAGAATTAAGGCAAATGAAAGAAAGACAATAGCACAAATTAGGTAGCTAATCCAGAAAATGCATCTATAGCTATCTGTTTCTAAGCCAACAGATTGGGATGATCTCCAATCCAGGAGGAGAATGATGGGTATAAAGAAGGACAGGAAAAAAAAAAACATGGAAGTACATCCATTTATCTTATTTGAGACAATAGTCAGGATCTCTAATAATATGAAACATCAGAGTCATTTAGTGTAAGTATGTACAAGTATTACATAAGTATACATGTATTTACATATATGTGTGTGTGTTTATATATTAAAATATATCTGCTTTAATAAAACTATAAACTATATATATAAATATAGAAATTAAACTAGGGTAGATTATGGTGGAATATCAGAATAATAAATATGCCTTGAAAATACCTGGGGCTAAAAACTAAAATATACACATAACACTTTTCTCTTCCATGGTACATACTCAGCATGCATCATTGGGAGCTCTTGTGTTCAAAGTCATCAGGAGCAGAGGATGGCAGAGACTGAGATCATCTTATGATATATCTGGATCATGTGATCTTATCTGTGGAAAGAGGGGACTGATGGGCTAGCACCAGCAATTCAGTGTTTTGGCCTGGATATGAAGCACGCTACCTATACACTCAAAATAAATTGGCTAAAATCAGTATGACACTCCTTCCTTCAGTTAAAGAAAGAAAGGAAATATAATATTATTGGGGACAAAAAGAAAAAAAATATATCAGATATGATTGAGCTCTAGAAGTCTTGATATCTTTACCACATATGGGAAAGGATCTCGGGAGAACACAGGAACTCATTTATCAACACTAGCAAAATCTAGGGCTTAGTCAGCTCTAAGGGAGACAGACACACTTTCAGACCATCAGGGGATGCATTCACTCATCCATCCATTCAGATACCCATTTTCTAAGGATAAACCAGCTTTGTAAACTAACACTGGCTGAAAAGACACACTGATTGTGAGACTCAGAAATCATCAGGTTCGTCTCACGTAACTGCATCACGTAAGTACATAGCAGTTGCATGAGTGTTGGAGCACATGCTTTTTTTCTGTGAAACATTAGCTTTTAATGGATTTTGGGGTTATATAGATGGCTACTTTGGACTTTATAGTTTCAGCTTTTTAATTTTGTTTACTAAGGCTTGATAAATACATGTTTAATATTTTGTAATTCAGTCCAAAAAGAAATTTGTTTTTAAGTGTTTTTATATAAGGTAAGTGTCCTTGGGTTAATAGTCTCAAAGATAATTCCAAAAACACTTTTAGAAGTCCATTTGCAGCTAAACAGTAATATTTACATTAAAATAATCTGAAAAACTTTATTTTTTTTTGGTTTTATACTTCTATACTTCTGACAAGTAACCAACCAAGGGCTCATAAAATAATATTCCACTTTTTTTTTATATTACTCTCATGATTTACATATTGCATTACAGTTTTTTGAGTAAATTAAAGTAATAAACTCTATTTCCTGCCAAGAACTACTTCCTTTCTTCTACTATATGCTTCAGTAGCTTATTCAAGTAAAGTTTACAACTAATTAGAAAAGCCACATGCATTTGGAATTAATATTGTCAGTTTGTGTTAGTATATATTTAAATCTCTGATCAGGTTATGTGGTTAATATTGCAAGGCAGTGTAGTCGAAGTTGAGCATGTGTTTTGATCTCTGCACCATGAAATGAATAAATGGGGTTTTCTTTAGAATTAAATCATCATGCATAATGAATATTCACATGCTATTTAAAATATATTTTATTATATTAAAATAATAAATATTAAAAGGTACATTAACTAATACCTTAGATGGGATGGTGATGCTATTGACGTAGATAATGACAGTTAGAACTAGCCGTTTTCAGGCATATTTGCATAGTTTAAAGGCAGAAGTAATATAAATCTGAATGGATGTGACATGAAGCTAGCCATATTATTTCTCTATTGGAAAACCAAATAGGTCATAACATCTATAAAACTGCAGAGGATTTCTGAAAAATTGAACTCAATATTTCTGTCACTTAGAATTTTATTTACGGATTGCCTGCTTGTGACTAACAGAGGGAAAACACTGTATGTATAATGAAGACATACCAGCCTCACACACTCAGAAACATTTGTAATCTCGCTGGAGATGAAATTAAATAAAAAATAGAACACAGGTATTTTGACTGACAAATAAACCATTAAGAAAACATGAACAAGGGCGCCTGGGTAGCTTAGTCATTAAGCGTCTGCTTTCAGCTCAGGTCATGCATGATCCAGGGTCCTGAGATCGCCCTGCATTGGGCTCCCTGTTCAGGGGGAAGCCTGTTTCTCCCTCTCCCACTCCCCCTGCTTGTGTTTCTTTTATCACTGTCTCTCTTTCAAATAAATAAATAAAATCTTTTGAAAAAAGAAAATATGAACTGGAGTATTAAAAACAAGAGAAAAAGAGAACCGTTACTGTTTATGTATCTATCTATACATAGAAAGAACAAAAGATGATAATTTAGGCAAATCCATACACCAGGGAATTCAAACCCTGCATTATCTCACATTTCTATGGAGATTTCACTGGCTGAGAACGAACATATAGCTATTGCAAAGCCCACTCTCTCTTCTTATTCTGTCTCCACAAAATCATCTCCGGTTGACTTCAGAATGTGCGCCTTTATCTCTGTATCTTCCATACCCACAACCAATGTGGTATCAAAATTCTGAAGCTCAGACATCTAGTTTCATCACATATTTTTACTACCAGAATTGCCACAATTGGCCCAGTGGAAGAACTTGATAAATGTTGGTTACATGCACGTGTAAGCCATGAAATAAATAGTTTTGTTTCTTTTTTATTTAAAACATTTTTATTTCAATTGCTTAGTTTGAATAGACTATATCTTGTATGAATTGATCCCTATTTATGTACATGCTGCATTCATACGCATTCATATATTCTTCAGGATTATCTAAGTCACATTTGAGTATTCCTGAATGGAGTGCGCTGGGTTTTTGTCATTTGTTAACATACGATATTTGCATAGAATTTAGAAATTTCACTCATCATCCTGATCTGTTTATTTTAATTTGAGGTAACTTTGGGTGCAATGTGCAGGATTCTGTCTCAGTTCCCATAGGTCTACTACAGAGAAGATGCTATTTGCAACATGTGTAATATATTCATAGCACTTTTTCTCTATGATAAAAACGTAGGAAAAAATGATCAAACCCTGCCTTGTGGTTTTGAAAGGGTATCTGCTGTACTTAAGCATCTTTATGAACAATCCAAGTACAACTGCACTTGAAAATTAATGAGCCAAGAAAATGAGCCTTGGTTAGTTCTCTACTCTTTGACTTCTAATATTACACTTGTTCCTATAGTTAACATTAAAAGCACTACATTAAGTTCATATGAAAGATGGCGTTATTGACTGATCTATTCAAAGCTGACTAAAATCTTCTAATGGTCATCTTGCATTGGTTTATGTAGT